GGGGGGGGGGGTGGGTTGCAGTTAGCAACCAGACAGTGCGACTCTGAAGTGCTGAAAGGGTTGCCAGATTGGACAAGGTCAACATCTTCACACACACACACGTTTTGATGGCCTTTCAAAGCACACTTCTGCCGTGCAAACTCAAAGAGCGGGTTCGTACAATTGTCTGAACTTGAGGCAGAGGGTGGGCGACGAAACCTAGCAGGGATGCATCCGTGTCAGTGGAGCTCCAGCATACAGCACCGTGGAAGCAGCCACTGAAGGTCGCTTCAACAAGCGCTTCACCATGGCTCTAGAGCCAGCTGAAAAATCACACGAGCGGCGAAATATATTTACAGCCTTCGGCATGCCGCCGGCCACCAGCTCGAGCCCGCATTGGCAGGCAGCTTAATGATACAATACCCTGCTCAATCATACTTGTTGGTGAATTGGAGGTGCACATTTGGCTGGGTGAGTTTGTTGATGTTTATTTCAAGGTTGTTTGACCATGAAATGGAACGAATCCGAATCAGAGGTTGTCTATTCTGATCCAGCGATCCGAACCGGCATGTCTCAGTCGAATCACCTAAGAGGAACCAAGTGAAACCAACACAAGCAATGCGAACCAAGACTATCCACAAAACATGACCTTGAAAACGATTCTTTTTCCAAACTACTTGGCCGTGTGCATGTTTTCCTTTTCAGATCTTTTTTTCGACCGTCTCGAGGGATTGCGACACGCACCAGATATTCTTTTTCACACACAGAAGGCTTCAAAGCGACCGAAGAATTTCTAGATCTGGCATGATTTGTCGTTTTTTTCTCCAAACCGATGAAAGACCCAGAATGACATCGAACAACAATACCCTGCTCAATCAGACTTGTGGGTGCATTGGAGTTGCACATTTTGCTGGGAGAGTTTGTTGCTGTTGATTTCAAGCGAAGTCGTTTTTACACTGAAATGGAACGAATCCGAATCAGAGGTTGTCTATTCTGATCCAGCGATCGACATGTCTCAGTCCAATGGTTGTCTATTCTGATCCAGCGACCTACTACCTACTACCTACTACGTACCACCTACTACCTACTACCTACTACCTACTACTGCTACTACTACTACTACCTACAGTCCAACCTACTACCTACTACGTACTACCTACTACTGCTGCTACTACTACTACTACCACCACCACTACCTACAGTCCAACCTACTACCTACTACGTACTACCTACTACCTACTACTACTGCTGCTACTACTGCTACTACTACTACCACCACCACTACCTACAGGGGGGGGGGGGCGTCAGGCTGTCGAAAACTCCGCGCGGAGAGACAAACCGTAGATTGAAACCAACACAAGCAATACTAACCAAAACAATCCACAAAACACGCCGGCAGGCCGGCGGATTTCCAATACAGAGCATGTCCTCTCGTTCTCCTTGCAAACCAAAAAAGTATCTCGTTCTTTGTGGGCGCCCTATCTCGTTCACCAGCAAATACTGATGTTGGGCATCTGGACAGCTTGGATAAAACAATATAACACAACCGTGGGCATTCGTAGGCATCTTGCTACTGGTTGCAAATCCTCGAATCTACTATAGCGATGGCCTTCCTAGTCGTAGCGATGGCCTCCAACCTACTAGCTCTGACACGCGTTCCGAAGCGATACCGTTCCCGCGTTCCGAAGCGAACTAATTTCTGCGTTCCGAAGCGACCCCCTCACCTTCAATTTCTAGGTGCATACCACCGGTTTACGGGTTTACGGGCGGCCCAAAATGTAGCTTACATGTTTGAAGGTTCCATTTTCTTAACGCGTTTCCGTATTTTCACCTTTTTTCTTGTAGACATTTCTTCCTTCTCTTCCTGTTCTTTCTGTTTTTCTTTCATTCTTCCTGGATACCAATGCCCCAGCGTGCTTACCCGCTTCCTGACAGAGCTGCTCATGAGAATCTGCTATTGCATTTTACTGCTGGTTTCTTTCTTTATATCCTCCTTCCTTCTCAGTTGCCATTCGATCGTAGGGGCCTGGCATGGACACTTTATTGACTGTTGTTTCCCATATGCATCTCTAGGTCTGTAGATTCTATATGTCGCCTTACAATTTCAAAGTGCATACCACGCATACCACCGGTTTACGGGCGTCCAAAAATGTAGCTTACATTTCTTGAGGTTTCACTTTCTTGACGCCTTTCTGCTACATTGTAACTTAACTTACTTTCTAACCCCCACATTGGCCCCACATGTGTCTTTTTTCTGTGCCGGGGCAGAGTGAATGTCCTTATCGGGCACTCCTGACAGCTCAGCTTTCCAGCTTTCTCCGAAAGCCCACACGCCAAGACTTATAGCTGACATGAGGATGACATGCGCCTTCTCAGGGCCATCTTCATTCCGGGCCTGCGCAATTGTAAGTTATATACAATTCTTTGACCCCCCTCCCTCCCCAATGCATAAATTGTAACTTACAATTTCGCAGGTCCCCCCTCCAATTTTGTAGGGATGGGGGGTGTGGATTTTGTTCTATTTTATAATGTACTTTAATGTACATACATAATAATATATACAATTTGGGTCTACCCTACTACCTGTAACAGTGGATGATGATGGTTAGTAGAGGCCTGGTCCAAAAATGGTGATCATTTTTTACTGATTGTTACAGGTAGTAGGACAGACCCCCCCAAAATAATCTATATATTTTATTAGCAATTTTAAATCTACAATGTAGCTGACATCGCTTGAAACAAGCAGCCACTACGTTTCAAGCTTCTACCGTGCTGCATGCAAGGATTGCTTGATTTTGCAACAGCTTCCCCGCAGGTGCCTCATCTAGCATATCCTTGACTTCGTCCATGACTTGTTGGAAGCTATCCGGCTGCTTGTCGTCAAATTCCAGCTCTGCACAATACCGCAGCACCTTCTTCATAGCCTTCTTATACCGGTTCCTGGGAGAATCCAAGTTGTTGGCAACCGATGACAAAAGTCATACTTGACCCCACATGCGCAGCCTTCAACAAACAATCTAAACTAAATGCTTCATGTCCGATTCTCCAATCATATCCAAGAAAAAGGTTGCCAAACTAAAAACGAAGGTTCTTCATGAAAATGTTGTACGCACGATTTCGAAGATTGCGACGAGCACGATCCTGCGAGCAAGGCTGTTAGCATCAACGAAGAAACCAGCATGGTCTCGGATCCTGAAAATCAGTACCAGGATGTGTCAGGAACCAAGCTATCCGAAAACACTTGAGCGATGGCGAAAGCCTCTTGGAAACGGCTTTGTGTTCCTACAGCCCTTTTGCGGAAGCCTTTGCACGCCTTTCGCGGTTGGCGGGGGTCATCATATCCTTTGTTTTATGTTTGGGGACTGCGCATAAAACAAAATAAATGGTTGGCCCTCCCCCTCTAAGCTGGTTCTCTAATGGCTGCGCAACCTTTTAAGCAGATTGCGTTGAGGCAAACAATGCGTTAGATTCAGAGTCCGTGGACGAAGATGAAGAGGAGGCATCTGCACGGCAAATTTCCTTCAGCCGTCTTCTTCTCTTAGCTGCAAACCTTCGAAGTGACAAGGCCTTCCTGGACATACTTGGTGCTCGGGCTTTCCAAGTCGAAAGTCGAACCTATGGACACAAGGGCTGATTTGAGCAGTTCGCCTTTCGCGCCGCATTCGCGAACCTTTCGCGAGCCTTTCGCGGATTTTGCCGAGTTTGCTTGGGCTTTCTTGGTTCGTTCTTGTTTACCTGGTGTTGCTTGCCTTGGTTGTTTAGTGAATGTTGAGATGAACCTGCCTAACCCCGTTCTTGATCCTTTGGGAGCACACAAGTTGACTGTATCCATTCACCTGTTTCAGCTTCACGTCCAACCCACCCCACTCCCCTTGCACCCTTTTTTCCGTGCAATGGTCGACACACCAGGCCAAGCGAGCCTTGCAGGTACCACCCTGCAAGGCTGGCAGGCCACCAAACTCCAGGGCAGGCACTTGGACCAAATCAGGGGAGCTGAGGGTGGGCGGGGTTTTGCAAAAGAGGCAGCTTTCATCCGCCAAGCCAAAGCTTCCTCAAAGCTGCAAGGACAAGATCTGAACAAATATCCAAGGGTGGGAGGGAGGAGGGTTCGCGCGCTGCTGCACTTGGGCGGCAGGCTGGCCCAACAGCAGCTGCGAGCACCACATGTGGAAGGCAAGGGCGGTTGCGACATCTAGTTGAACCTTTGGAAGCGAGCCTGGAACAGTCACAAAAGGAAAGCTAAGTGCTAACATGACCCATTCAAAAAGAATCTTTCGCGAACCTTTCTCAGACCTTTCGCGCCCCAGCTTAAGGTTTTGGAGGACAACACCGTGATAAAACCTTACATGGAGGTCTTTGACGCTGCTCACTTGAGCTCCGCCCAAAAAACGCACACACAAGCTAAGACTGACTCGCCAGATCCCAGATAAGATCTTCAGACCTGCTTTCGTTTTGATTCCGTGAGTCACAAACACCTGGCCAAACTATCCAACTTCCATCACCATACTTCCCAAGAGCTTGGCAATCTTTCCTCATAGTAGCGCCAGCGACGGAAGTAAAGAGTGTAGCAGCTGTAGAGACTGCGTCTGGCCACTTTGCCACGGCTGGGTTTGCTCTCACTTTGGCCTCAGCGTCGCGTGCTCTTGCATCCACCACGACCCATTGAAAGTTGAAACATGTTGAAACATGTTATATAAAACTGAACACCTTGATAAAACCATATGAGTTGTCAAGGTGAGAGAATGGGATGTGGAGATGTGCGTTTTCGATGAAACTCCGAGGCAAGCCACTCACAGATCCACCCGCCAGTGCAGGTGACTCGGGTGCTACCACAGTGATCTCAAAGCCCTGGCGGCCCTGGCGGTTGGCGCTGGGACGCGCCTGGCGGGATCGCATCTCTCCTTCAGTGCAATGCAGTGTCACTCAAACATGGTCAGGCCTTGCAAACAACGGCTGCAAGGCCAAGCACAGCAGCAGCGAGGGCACCCTTGCTATCCTGAGACCCAATCCAAACTATTCAACAGGAAAGCTCAACTCTCAAAGCATTTCTACTGTTTTGGAACTTCCAAGATTCTGTTGTTAAAGTTAGTCAGGCTGATGTTCAATATATAAAATGTTGATACTGATTGATTTGATGAACAAACTCGAGTTGAATTCTGGATACATCTTTTCCAGCCTGCACCTGCCGCGCTTCTGCTGCTCGAGGTGGTGCAAAGGCTCCAGGTGCAAGCTTTGGAGCGACACCAGCGGTGGGGATGAAAGCTGGGGCAAGCCTGAAGGCAATGACAAATGAAGAGAATTGCTGTAGATGTCAAGCTGCCCTGTAGTCTGGGAACTCGACATCACAGCACAAGAACCGGTTTATGATAGTACAGTATATGGCAACAACAGAGGAAACTCTTGCGAGCAAATCCTGCAACTGCTTGGACTTCCCACAATCCTGTTGGCTGTGTTCCTCCGGACTGCTGATTTAGAAGACCCGGCCTAAGCGCCACCACCAAGCCCACAAGCAACACCCAAATCCGCACCATGACCACAAGATCCGCGTGGTCAGGGAGTTGCCAGATGGCTGCGGCAACAAAGGCTCAACCAAATAGCACCACAGGTTCGAAATTGTCCCAGGACTCTCTTCCACCCACCTCTCTTTGTCTCTCTCATCAGAGTCTGGTTACCACGCAGCTGCTCGTAGAGGGAAACCTCTGAGGAATGAAATAGGCTGCTAGTATTTTAAATCATACGTGGTACTGTTGCTATTAGGTTGGAGGCCATCGCTAGTAGGCTGGAGGCCATTGCCATTAGGTTTGTACCTGTGGTTGTCAACCTCCCAGGCTGGGACCCGCAAAAGATCTGAAACTGAAGGCAGCTAGCACGCCACTTCCGTCAAAACTCATCTATGGCCGGATGAATTGGTCTTAATGGGTCGTGGCGCCCTGCCTCCAGAAATCCAGGCATGTGTGCATAGCCTCAACACAGAATGCAATCAAATGTATTGGCCCATTCTTGTGCTTCTCCCACATGACTTTTGTTAGGCTGGTTCTTCCCAGAAATCTCGGCAAGTGGTTGAAACACGTTGACCACACTCTTCTTTGATGCTTGATGCTCACACCATCACTGGGAAAATACATAAACTCCCATGTGGGTGTAAAATCGCAATACACTCGTTGATTGTGAACATGCAAACAAGTGCCACAAAGGTCGCCTGCACCCATACCAGGTAGCGCCTGGGTCAGAAATGAGCCCACTGGCGTGAATGATGCTTTCAAAGCCAAAATGAAAAGGCCAGGTGAATGCCAGGTCATATTTTCTGGCCAGATTGGATGGCGAATGATGGCGGTCCTCAAGCAAGCTTTATACACGTCAATCAAAAATCATATACATCCCTCCGCATCCCTGTGCAACTGGAACCCAATGTGTTGGGATAGTGCTGCAGCAAATGAAATGTGGTGGCTCAGCTGAGCTGCCTCATTGTGCTCTGGGCTCATTCCAGCAACACAGCGTTGAAATCCCTTGCTTTCCGGCCTGGGACATGGGCTGCGCCATGCTTCGCTGCATCCTTGCATAACAGGAGAACGGATTTTCGGGCGGTGCAGCAGGCACCAGTGATCTCACCAAAGCACTCCCTGAGCAAAACTGAGAAGACCATTTCACTGCTGAAGGGAAGGTCCTTAAGAGTCTTAAGCTTCATGGTGATTTTAGAGTATGTGATTTGCACCTCTCCCTCTGTCCGATTGTCCCAACCAAGCGCCCAGCTCTTCAACGATGTAAGAGCCGCCTTGGTGGCACAAAAATGGAATCCAATTTGTCAAGTGAATCCAATGCAAGACGCTGCAACAAACCGGTCTAACACTCTGTCTGCGTGCTCAATTCTGGCCCTGCCAGGTTGAAACAAATCGATCTCGCATTAGTTATGGTGAAATCTTTGCCCACTCAGCGGTTGTAGTTGTACTTTGTCATGGTCAGCCGGGCGAGTCTCATTGCATCCTTGTCTGCGTGGTAGTCGTACGTCTTCCGCAATGCAATCTCTGGTGGAGTATCTTTAGGCCCCTCTTCATGCTCCTTGTGCGCAACAATCTCGCTACAAAAATTGCTACCTTTGTGTTACATCATGGAAATATAAAGTTTCATAAAATTTCAGTGCAACACCAACGACCGCAAATATCATTGAAGCACTGTACTGTGTCCTCTTCCTTCAGCTCGTTCTTGGGCGGGTCTGGCCAAGGTATTATGTGACCTGTGAGCTTGGAGACACGGATGGCATCACCGTCCTCCGTGAAGGTGAGCCCCACCTCGGACGGGAATAAGCAGGTCAAAAACAAAGAACATGTGGTTGCACTACCGTGTAAAATGGACAAGAAATGAACAGATCTTGTTCAACAGCATGAAGAAACAACACTAAAACACATGCATCCTGCAAGGCTACAGTGGAAGGGACACTCCTTTTCTCAAAAGCCACGTCACCCTGGTTGCCTGGCCCCTAGTCGGGTCCACCAATGCTACATTCGAATAGTGAATCCTTGCGCGCACCAAAACGAAGAAGCGACGGGAAATATATGCATGTTCATCACACCCTTGGCTCACATTGCTTGGTGACAGGATATATGCTAAATGTCTATATAAAACTTCTTAAATCTATCATAATCTATCGTTTGCAAATGCAGCTTTCGATAAGAGGGAGTTTGCGCGAATCTATTTAACTTGAAGCTATTGCCCTCCCGACTGAAATGGCAATGATCTAACCACTCCCTACAAACAAGCATCTTTTTCTCGATGAACTTGGCGTTTCCATCCTCGTCTACCACCTCCAGGCATGCTCAGCACAGCACACGAAGCAAAAGTTTTGTGGCTTTGAGGTGCTTGTTCTTCCTTCCATTTCCTTATCATTCGTTTGCGTGCCTTGCGCTTGTTCATGTCCTTGACCTTAAGCATGTTTCTCCGAGGGTCGATCATGAGCACCTCTCCTGACGAGCCCTTGTCACCACCAGAGATGACCATCACTAGATCTCCGGGCCGAATCTTCCAGGTCCGGATCATGAGCCTCAGCACTTCCACTTCTGGCGGAAGGCTGGGTCCGACTGTGTCCGCTATCATGTGCAGTTGAATGATGAATTGCAGTTGATTTGTGTCCGCCAACTGCAGCCCAAGCTGCTTGGGCTTCACTAACTTCGGCCCCCGCTCAGCAAAGCGACATGCATTGGTCCTCAGCAGCTTCAAGGATTGATGATGGCATGATTGATGGCATCTCAAGATGTTGGTCTCCAACTGGGCTCCCAAGCCGGAAAGTGCATTGCAATAGGCCCGAAAAATTGGCCAGCATAGCTCCCAATGGCTTGGGTGCACTTTTTCCGGAACAGGCATTTGCCGGCTGTATTTAGTATATAGATCTGTTCAAAAATGACTGGATCTTGAATGGCCACATCAAGATGGTAGATATCAAATATGATGTCGTTCACTCCAAGACGTGAATTGTCTTGCATTTGGCATGGTAAGCATGTTTGCAAAGGCTTGCTGCAGAATGTGCGGTTCGGGATTGAAGCAGTGAACAGCTGGGGGCACTCTGCCCCCAGACTTTAGAATAATGTCATAGACTCATAGAAATAAAGAGCTCGGCTCGGAGTTCAAGCGCATGCATTCGCAAACGGCCATCGTTCACAATTGGAAAGAAATGGCCTCTGTTTGCATGGACTCGACTGCTTTACCCCACCCGGAGCCCCGCCAGCCCCGTTCGGAGCGTGATCACTGAGTGTTTGGCCTGAATCATTGGGCCTGGGCGGTTCGGCCATTGGGGCCGTTGGGGCTTCTTCGCGGTGTTTTTAAGCACGTCCTGCACTACTTTGCAAAGTAGCAACCGATATATGGGCCTATGGTGGCCTAGACGATAACAATGCGAGAGTGAAATGAAACTGAATATCCCCATTACTCAGCATTGTATTCCAGGACACCAGGACCATGCTACATCCCACACGCAAGTTGCACACCCCAGCCAAGATTCACACCTGGCTGGTCGGCCAAGCATACCTGCCAGCGACCGCCGCGACCCAAAGTTCTGAAGGCATTGCTCTCTGAAAGTGAAGCATGACAGGAGCCAAATAATGCCGAATAGTTGTATAATGATCCCTTCTGCGCACACGTGCGCACATGTCTCCCTTTTTGGGCGAAGCTGTCCAGGCCTGAAGGGTCTGGATTCCAGGTCAAAGCCCCTGGACACGTTGCTACTGCATGAGGCTCCAAAAGAAGTCTCCGGAATGTTCAAAGAAAAAGGCTCTCTTCTTATACCCACAGCTGAACAAAAACCAACATGGAACGAACCAATCATTCTGAAGTGCACGGCAGTGCTAGTGCCGGAACTGCTGACTGAGTAAGCATAAATGTTGCATCCTTGCAGTCGACTTGTGGCCGCAAACTCGACAGAAGTCGAGCGGAAACGGACATCGACCAGCCGACCTGATGGGATGTCCGCCTTGGCAAAGCTTTGAGGCAAACATGGATTCTGCAAGCGTAGGGCTGTGGATCACAATCTGTAGAAGTGCAAGTCTAACGAAGACGGTTGATGATCTGTTTGTTAATAATCAAACGGTGCCATCAGTGCCATCAGTGTCATCATGTTGTTTCATTGTTTTTCTACTACATGATGTTGTTTGTGTTGGTGCCGAAAACAACCGGAAGATTGATCCAAGACCTGAGGCTCGGCACCCCCATGTTCAAGGGGACGTTGCCCAGGGGTCGACTGCGCAGGAGACAGTTGGACGCAAATGACAGCATCGATAAGTCGCACCTCTTGTCATCTCTGGCACCTTTACCTGCCAAGACGATCAAGTTGGTTGAACCAAAATCTTTGAGAGATGTCATTCACCCAATTGGACATGAAAAAATGCAAGCATCAGCCGGCAGTTCCCGGAAGTGAGGGCAGATGCGCTGAAAGTTTTACAGTAATTAGTGCGGCTGGGTATGAATATCCTCGCCTTTTCCTTTGCTGTCCTTTCCCTTTCCACCGTTTCCCTTGCTATCTTTCCCTCTGTCATCTTTTCCTTTGCCTCCCTTGCCTGACAAGCTCCACACTGCAATAGAGTCGCAATAGAGACTACCATCTGTTGTCCCGCAGAACCTCCCACTGCCGCTGTGGAAATGGACCAACGCTTGCCTCGATCCTTTCCAGCTTTGCCTTTCTGACCACTTGCCTGACAGCACTGACTGCACTCTGCAGTGGAAAACTCAGGAACATGCGAATGAGAATGTGGCATGTGGCTCGCTGCCTGCCTGGGCGGCTGGAATCTTGTTGCTACCTGCGCCTGCTGCACCTTGCTTTGAGCAGGATAGTCAAGTATGAGAAAATCACGACGAGATTTGTTTACAAATCAAGACTGTTCCATAATTAGCATTCATAGTCTATCCGGCAATATAATCTAGGTTTGTGATAGGTGAGCATGGCAAGGATTCCCTGATTTTACCGCTCTTAGAAGTTCCTTGCCAATTTCCAGTCTGCCAGTGCAACCGAGTGTCGCTTCCCGTCACCTGCGGTTCTAGGTCTAGGCCAATTTGTCTACCACTCATTGGTTGGTCCATTAAATATGAATCTGCTTGATTTTGTCACTGCTAGCCAGAAAAAAAGGGGTGATACGTGCGAATGTGAAGCATGGTGGAATGGGCGACGTGCAGATGATGAAAGGTGCATGCCTGGTCCTTTTCCATGGCCGCCTTGGTCTTTGCCGAGGCCTCCATTGGCACATGTCTCATGTCACATTAAAAATAGGGTGCCTTCGAACCCCCCTGGCCAAAGCAAAGGTTGGACTGAAGCGTGTGAGTCCCAAGCTCATTGCTTTTGAGCCATCCTTGTAAGGACGCCCGTCCCGCAGCTAGCAACGAAGTTCAACAGTAGCGTTCGTGCTAACTCAACCACTACCGCTCCTCCTTCGGAGAACCCTTTGGAACCCTACTGTTGGACGCTCTAGTCAGTACAAAAAGGCTAGCGGCTACCGCCTCTGCCGCCTTTCTGCTTTTCTTGAGGCGCTTTGTCCTGAGCTTCAAGAGCTGGACATGAGGCCGTTAAGTGTCTTTTTTGTTTTGAGGCCAGGAGGGGTGGTAGTAGTGGCTGCTAAGTAGGTAGTAGCTATAGTAGCTACCAAGTGATCCCGGCGCTCAGGCTTCTTCAAGGAAGGTCCGGAAGAAGCCTGTGTCGGAGCCTTAATGGTTTGGTTCCTACAAAACTAACATAAAACACCATACAAATCATAGGAGTTTTGTACAACACATCATACAAATCCTACAAAACCTGTTGTACAACACATTATATAACATTTGATCTCATAAAACATCATACAACACATTCAAATGAGGTCCCTCGGCCTTTGAAACTGACTGCGTGTAAAACAAGGGGGTAGGAAAAGCCTCCTGCCGCCCTTATTGGGCGGGGGGAGGTTGCGATCGAAGATCCCCGCTGCATGATTGAACATGTTTGGGGGGAAACTTGCAATTGTTTGCAATTGTTTGTTCAGTCCATCACCAAGTGTGAAAGTTCGTGGTTCATCGCGAAACTCCAGCTGCAGTGCAATCAGCGTCTGCCATAATTACATCTCACAATGGCAATGACACAATCGAAAGTAGAAGAGTTGCCTCCACGTTTGGATCTTCTGTGGTGGCCTCCTTGGGACCTGCCACAAGTGCAAATGATCAGAACCTTTGTGCTCCCGTCAGACCATCAAGCTGCTGAGGGAGATCTAAGACACTGCCTCAATAAGAAGGTTCACCGCCTATAACTGTGTATCCTGAAATCGCCTTGCATTGAATACGATTAACACCTCCAGCACGTCCCCTAAACAAGAACCAAACCACATCAGCCAAAGGGTTGATCATTAAAAGGTTTCTGGGTCACTGTGCTGCAGGTCAGGTGTGGCTGCCTCCATCATCGGAGCGCTTTTTGTCCTCTTTGTCTTTATGTGACCTGTCTCAAATCTATATACATTCGATGAAGCCCTCCTGGCCCCAGTCATCTACCGGGGTCAAGCACACACTGCTGAACTGCAGATTTAAACTTACGATAATTTACGAGAGGGCCCAGAGCTATATAAACAGTAAAAACAGTAAAACATGCAAAGGTGTTGCCATATTCTGTCAATAAACCGTTCTTCGATCCATCTGACGTTGCATCAATTTGGACCCATGACCCATGACGTGGCAATGAATGAGCTTTGGCAAATGCGTCCACATAGACCATCTCCAGTTCTGATTCGAGATCTCTTGTGAGCTCATAGCTCAACGTCCGTCCCAAAGTCTGATGACAGGGAACGACACATTCAACTTCAACATGTGAAAAGGACTTGCATCACTTCATTATGTCATTATGTGACAAGGACTTGCATCACTGGCCAAACCTGAACCACTCAAAAATCGAATCAATGATCTAGGCTTCTGGCTGTTTTCCTTTACCTTTCCCTGACAAACCACTCACAATTGCCTAAACTCCAACAAAGATCTGGAAGAGTTTGCTGGAACGAAATGGAACGAGTGCAGTATTTTGGTGGAACTGCAACCTTTTGGCAAAACCTTCATCTGAGTTCAAAGCTCTTTGTTGGCAGAAAGCGTCTTTAGTGACTACAGTCTTTTCCAGCCTCTCCCTTTCTTGCCAAACCCTGTCATAAATCCTGACGGGCAAGAATCCAGCAGTCAGCTCAAGTTCGCAATCTGTTGGTGATCCGTGCAAACGCGAGGTTTGGTCTGTTTGGCCCAAGCGAATGCCACATGGCTAGAATTCGTCAGTCAGCTCAGGACGTTCACCACAGGAAGAGGCTCAAAAACAGGGGAGCCAGTCCTTTCCAAGACATCGGATCCCAAACGCTGCAGTTGTGCGCGCCCAAGCCAGCATCATCCTGGAGGATGGGACAGAGGATATATTATTGCTTTATCATTATTGTATAATGAATGTGGTTTCCACAACTCTGGTGATTGACATTCCGCCTGTTGCACCCAATTAGCGTTTCTCCTCTTGCCTCATAAAGTTGAAATTGTACCACGACGCCGACCAACAAATCGCGGCAGCCGACCTCGATCCAAACAAACGGGTCGATGCAAAAAGTCGCGCGGTTGTTGTTCCGACCAGAAGTGCGAAGGATCCGAGTCTTCATCACTTCAAGAGCCAAAGGGTCGAGTTCTTCGCCCTCCTCCTCTTGGGCAACTTTTCCGACTGCACGCTGCAGTGCGCTGCAGCATTGGCTAGCGGCTAAAGGAAGCACCTGACCTTCAAGCAGTCCAGCAAAGTTGAAAGTCTTCTTCAAACTCTTGCGCAATCAACTGTTCAGCTCTGTCTAGCTAATGAAGGCACCAAAACCGGCCAAATGGCACCCGCCCAGTTCGCTGTGCAGGAAAACGGACAAGCCCATAGACATATCTATATAGTCGCAATAAACACTAAATAGATCTAAATTAAATATATATCATATTATGTAATCTCCCTCAACCCTCTCGTGCGTCGTGCCTGCGAGGCTGGCGAGGCTCGGCTTCTCTTTGGCTTCCACAGCACCAGCTCCAATCCAGATAATCCATCAGCAGCGGCTTCTCAGCTATCATGGTTTGACTTTAAGTCAGTCAGTTGTCTCAATGGTGGGTTCAGGAAGTCGCCTTCGACCTCCAAATGTTCTCAAACATGTTGTTGTATATCATGCTCAAGAAGGGCAACTCAAACAACAAAGCCAATACCTCCACTCACCGCAAACAAGTCACGAATGACAGGCCCATTTGGCATGCCTTTGGCTGGTCCTGGACCCTGAGGCCAAAATTGCATGACATTCGTGTAAAGCTTTGGCAGCCTATTCCAGCCTGAACGCAAGGCCACCAAACATGGCAGTGACCAGCAAACGCTTCTTTCATTTCATCTGTCCAGCGTCTTGCATCGAAGTGCGCACCTATGCCAAACCCGGTACAGGTGCAGCATATCAAAATGTGGCAGCAGCACTCGCCAAAAATAATCAAAAATATACTTGACGACAACACAACTTCGCGCAACCATTCTAAGGATATGGCAGTTCTTCCTTGGCTGCAGGCAGGTTACAAGGTAAGCCACTACAGCAAGTTCTTCTTTGGGGGCTGGAATGGCTCACACCATCCAGTCCAATTCCATCCAAGGGACATATTGGCCCCAAGATAGGTTCCATCCTGCACGTGGAGGCTCCACAACTGGATAATACTGGATATATACCCGACGTCTTTCAATTCGCTGCGGCCCGTCAAAACACAGCGCAGCCATGAATGCAATCAATGTATATAGCTGTAGCTGCCAATAGAGAAACAACCGTTTCCAAAACGCTGACCATGGTATGTCCATGAATCCTGCTTCCACTAAATCAATGTCTGTCTTGGCCTCTCTGTATTACATCTGTCCAATAATTACTACTATATCGACAAAGGTTGAATCGATAAAACATGTTTCAGGACCTTTCTCAGCCCCAAAAAACTGAAGCCCCAAATTTCAGGATGAATCGAAAGGCCCTTTGATGCACTGAAGACCTACGTCATTGTCCAAAAAAATGCAAAAAATATATACAAACATTATATAAAAATATACAAAATTTGCAAGAGGCGGGCCTCGTGACACATGACGCCATCAAAGTTGAAGCCATCTGGGCACGTCCGGTTGTAGTTCCGCTTGCATTCCCAGGCTGGCTTCTTGCCCTTAGTCAGCACTCCCAAAGGCTCTCTCAACCAGCATTGTGATGTGCGACTTGTGAGCTACACCTGGCTCTTGCCAAGCGAGATTCCCGTCGTTGAAATCACCTGCTGACTTGCTGCAGCTGTGGAAAGCTCGTCTTAAATGATAACCGCAGGAAAACATACACTACACAAGGTTTTTCATGCCAAAGTATGTGCGTGTGTGTGTGTACACACACACATATAACATATATATATATATACACACCTTGGACTCATAGGTAACCTGTCGGTTTTTTAAAGTTGCACGGGTTTGCAAGGGCCAGTCCATGGCATCACAACGCTGGCCAACGAAGCTAGTTATGTCATGGGAAGCGGTCAGGGACGTCTGACTATGTACCTGCAGGGTTTTGACTTTATTCCCTAATTGGTCTCGTGCCTAACTAGGACTAGGAACAATTTCTGGCCCTTGCGGCGGTTTATTCACGGCAGTCACGCATCTGTGATCTTCAGGATGGTAGTTTTACTTATTAGGCAATTTGTTCGACCTATATAGGTTGCTGTGCGGCATGTGGCATTGAGACCGAACTAACCATATCCCGAGTGTACTCCCGAGTGTGTGTGTGTGTGTGTGTGATTGTGTGTGTGCCCCCCTCCGTTTCCAGGAGTTTGTTTCCTATTCAATCGGCGGGGGGACTGCCTGACTTGTAACAGTGGCAGTCCAACGAAGAGGCTGTTACGAGTCACTGATATGGATTCTGGACACAGAATGCACGTACTTGCTGACCAAGGCACTGACTCCAATGGTTCACCCTGCCGCTGGTTGTTGTTTCATGGTCCTTGCACGATATACCCCTAAACCCTTTTCCAGCTGAAGTGTCGCTGCGCCACGCGTTTGTTGACCGCCGATTGCAACAATTGTTCAACATTCCAAAAGCGCGGACTGATTCACCTTGCGTTTCCCTCATCCATTTCATCGTGGATCACTTACTGGATGAACCCTGTGAGGTTTAGCTGCCTTGCATTCGTGAATCAGGTTATTGGCTCGTTGTTGTCTCACCCGTGAATCACCGGACCCACACGCTGCCGAGCTACGGTGTTTCGAAGCCGCCGGGCATACGGAGAATGAACCCCCCGCGCCGCGGCCGGGCTATCAAAAAGAAAATCAGTATATATATATATATATAATTTCTATATCCTATCAAAAAGAAAAAATTGTATCAAGAACAAAATATCTCTCAAAGAGCTGCGAGTGCCACTGCAAACCACCTGGGCAGCGCAGCGCGATGTGAATCTGGATGCGCAGATTTCGTGGCAGGCGCAGCACTTTGAGCACCTCCAGTAGCAGGTTTCGTGGCAGGAGCGGCACTTTGTGCACTGGAACTGCAGATTTCGTGGCAGGCGCAGCACTTTGAGCACCTCCAGCAGCAGGTTTCGTGGCAGGTGCGGCCCTTTGTGCATTGGAAGCGCAGATTTCGTGGCAGGCACAGCACTTTGAGCACCTCCATGTAGCAGGTTTCGTGGCAGGAGCGGCACTTTGTACGCAGCACTTTGAGCACCTTCAGTTGCAGGGCTCGTGGCAGGCGCAGCACTTTGTGCACTGGAACTGCAGATGCAGCACTTCGTGAACCTTCGTGAACCTCGAAGCGCAGATTGCGTGAACCTCTGTCTATAAGCACAGACTTCGTGGCAAGCGCAGCGATTGCGAACCTTGTAGTGCAGTTTGCGTGGCGTTTGTAAAATTCTGTGTATCTGAAGACCTGTGAAAAGAGCTCTTGATATCTCTGGATCTGAACATCTTTCTACACCCTCTGCAAGTATAGACTCCTAGAACTTAGATTTCAACACCTCCCTGGATCTCAAGACTCACTCAAGACCTCTAAACCTCCATCTTTAGGTCTGTGGGTTTCTAGACCGCTACACCTGCAGATTCAGATCTGTCTGGATCTCCAGGCCTTTGGATCTTTGTAGATGTAGACCTCTCTGCATCTCAACCATGATCTCTCTGAATTTCACGATGGCTCACAAAACCGCAGCAAGACCTGTGTGTGGATGGCTCACAAAAGGTCTGCTATGTTGGAACGGCACCTTTCTCCTCTAAAGTTTATGCTGAAAACAGGTCTGCTCCTGCAAATTTTGCCCTCGCATGGCTCACAAAAGGTCTACTGCTCCTCTAAATTTTGGTCAGAAAAGGTCTGCTACCTTGGCGTGGCACCTAAAGTTTATCCCCGGATGGCTCACAAAAGGTCTGCTACGTTGGAATAGCAAGTTCTACCCTCGGTGCTCACAAAACAAAGGCCTGCTACGTTGGAATGGCAACTTCTTCCTCTAAGTCTTAACCTCGCAAGGCTAACAGAAGGTCTGCAACGTTGGAATGGCTCCTTCCTCTTCAAAATTTTGCCCTCAGGTGGCTCACAAAAGGTTTGCTACCTTGGAATGGCACTTTCTTCGTCTAAATTTTACCGTCAGGGTGGCTCACAAAAAAGGTGTGCTACGTCTGGCGATAAAAGGTCTGCTACGGTGCTTCACAGGGGGACCAAGGGACCAGGGACCAGGACAAAGGGACCAAAGGACCAAGCGACCAGGGAACCAGCAAACCAGGACCAAAGGAGTGGGGGGAATTTTATTTTTGATATGAATTAATGTTTTTTTGATAGGAATCAATTTTCTTTTTGATCGGTATCCCCCCGCGCCGCCGCCGCCCCCCCCTTTTCTCTATTCCCCCGCTCTAATTGGGGTAACAGAAGGAAATGGTACTCGACACAACACACTTGTGTGTCTGTGCCTTTCCTTCTGTTGTCCCTGTTCTGGTCTACTCTACCCGAATCTACCCGGGCAGTTTAAGACAAAAGTCCCGCTCCCTAACTACTGCGCGTAATTAAGAACCGCTAAGTAATTAGTAACTAGAGTGCTAGGCATTCAGACACACACTTATGGATATGCGTACTGGTTTGACAGCGGTGCCACACGCCAGCCTAAGTTTTTAAAAGGCCTGAGGTGGCAGGAAAATAGTCGGTTAAAGGCCATCGGTTTTGGGTTGGAGGCCAACGCAAGGCTGTCGGGGGCCAAGACCTAAGGTTGGAGGCCATCGCTAGTAGGCGGTGGAC